TCTTTTAAACAACCAGCTCTTGCATGAATTCAGAGGGAGAACTCACTCATTACTATGAGAGCGGCACCAAACCACCCATGAGGGACCTGCCCCCATGATGAAAACACCTCCCACCAGGGCCCTACGAAAACTTGCTTGCTCTTTGCTTTGTTTGCTTATAATAGTCATTCCAGCGGCTATGAAGTGGTACCCTACGGTGATTTTTTTTCCATTTTAAAAATGGATTTAGAGGGTACAAGTGCAGATTTCTTACATGCATATATTGCATCGTAGTGGAGTCTGGGCTTTTAGCGTACCATTCACCTGAATAGTGAACATTGCACCCAATAGGTAATTTTTCAACCCTTGTCAACTTCCCACCCTCCACCTTTTGTAGTCTCCAATGTCTATTATTCTATATGTCCATGTGTACCCATTGTTAAGCTCTCACTTACAAGTGAGAATACGTGATATTTGACTGTTTCTGAATTATTTTACTTAAGATAATGTACTCCAGTTCCACTCATGTTACTGTGGAACACATGACTTCATTATTTTTTATGGCTGCATAGTATTCCATGTATATGTAAAATGTAGATGGGTAGATGCCCAGTACTGAGATTGCTGGATCAAATGGTAGTTCTATTTTTAGTTCTTTGCAAAATCTCCATACTTTTTTCCATAAATGTTGTGATAATTTACATTCCCACTAACAGTGCATAAGCATTACTTTTTTCTCCACATCCTCACCAACATCTGTTGTTTTTTGATTTTTAAATAATAGCTATTCTGACTGGTGTAAGATAGTATTGTGTGGCTTTAATTTGCATTTCTCTGATAATTAGTGATATTGAGCATCTTTTACATGTTTGTTGGCCACTTGTATGTCTTTCAAAAAACACCCATTCATGGCCCTTTGGCTACTTTTTAATGGCATTACTTGTTTTTGTTTTTTTTCTTTTTTTTTCTTGTTGAGTTGTTGGAGTTTCTTGCAGATTCTGGATATTAGCCTTTGTTAGATACATAATTTGGAAATATTTTTTCTCATTAGGTAGGTTTACTCTGTTGATTGTTTCTTTTGCTGTGTGGAAGGTTTTTAGCTTAACTGAGTCCCATCTGTTTATTTTTGTTTGTGTTGCATTTGCTTTGGAGGACCTGGTCATAAATTCTTTGCCTAAGCCAGGCCAATGTCCAGAATAATTTTTCCTACATTTTCTTACAGGATTTTTACAGTTTCATGTCTAAAATATAAATCTTTAATCCATCTCGAGTTAATTCACGTATATGGTGAGAGATAGGGGTCCAGTTTCATTCTTCTGCATATGGCTAGCCCGTTTTCCTAGCACCATATATTGAATAGGGTATTCTTTCCCTATTGTTTAATTTCGTCAGTGTTGCAGAAGATCAGTTGTTAATAGGTACTTTATTTCTGGGTTCACTATTCTGTTCCATTGGTCTATATGTCTATTTTTATACCAATATCATGATGTTTTGGTTGCTATAGCCTTGTGGTATAATTCAAAGTCAGAATGTAATACTTCAAGCTTTGTTCTTTTTGCTTAGGATTGGTTTGGCTATTCAGTCTCTTCTTTGGGTTTCATATGAATTTTAAGATTTTTTAATTATGTGAAAAAATGTGTTGGTAATTTGATAGAGATTGCATTAAATCTGTAAATTGCTTTGAGCGGTGTGGTCATTTTAATAATATTGATTCTTTTGATCCATGAGCATGGGATGCTTTTTCGTTTATTTGTGTCATACACAATCTTTTCATCAGTGTTTTGTAGTTCCTCTTGTAGAGATCTTTCACCTCCTCGATTAAACGTATTCCTAGGTGTTTTATTTTTTGTGGCTGTTGTAAATGGGGTCTTCATTTGGTTCTTAGCTTGAATGATATAGGTGTAGAGAAATGCTACTGTGCTTTGTACATTGATTTTGTGTCCTGAAACTTTACTGAAGTTCTTTATCAAGTCTAGGAGTCTTTTGGAAGGGTCTTTAGGAGTTTTATTGTACATTATTTGGGGTTTTCAACATAATGGGGTATTTTTTCTCCCTTATAATATGTATGCCTTTCACTTCTCTCTCTCTCTGCTTGCGTGTGTGTGTGTGTGTGTGTGTGTGTGTGTGTGTGCACGTGTTATTGCACTAGCTGGGACTTCCAGGACTAACAGTGAATAGTAGTGGCGAGAAAGGACATCCTTGACTTATTTCTGATTTTAGGGGAAAATTACTCAGTGGTTCACTGTAGGTTTTCCATGGATACCCTTTTTTAGAATAAGGAAATTTCCTTCTATTCCTAACATGTTGGGAATTTTATCATTAATTAATATTGAATTTTGTTGAATGCCTTTTCTGCACTTATTCATATGATCATCTGATGTTTCTTATTTAGTATGACAATATAATAAAATACATTGATTGATTTTTGAATGTTGAACCAACTTTGAATACCTGGGATAAACTCCACTTGATCTTGATGTATTATTATCTTTTTGATACATTGCTAGAGGTGATTGGCTAATATCTCAGTAAGAATATTTGTACCTATGTTTATGTGAGATATTGCTATTTAGTTTTTTTCTTGTAATATCTTTGTCTGAGTTTGGTATTAGGATGATGGTATCCTCATAATATGAGTGGGGTCATTTTCTCTCCTTAATTTTCTGAAAGAGACTGTAAAATTTGTATTACATCTTACTTAAATGTTGGATAGAATTCATGAGTGAAATTGTCTGGCCTGGAGTTCTCTTTTTTGAAAAGTTTTAAATTACAGATTCAGTTTCTTTAACAGATGTCAGGCTATTCAGATTATCTACTTTTCTTTGAATTAGTTTTTTTATCATGTGTGTTTAAGAAATTGGTTCATATAAGTTATCAAATATATAGGCATAGATTGATTGTAGTATTCCCCCTCTTATTCTTTTAGTGAGAACATTCAAAATCATCTCTTCTAGCTATTTTGAACTATACAGCATATTATTGTTGACTATTGTCACCCTCCTCCTATCTAACTATAACTGTAACTTTGTACCCAATGACCAACCTCTTCCCATCTCTCTTTCCCTCCTCCCCTCCCCTGCCTCTGGTAACCACTGTTCTAATTTCTACCTCTATAACATCAGCTTTTAAATTTATATTTATTTTATTTTTTTATTTTTGTGGTTACATAATAGGTGTATATATTTATGGGTTACATGAGGTGTTCTAATATAGGTACGCAGTATGTAATAATCACATCAGGGTAAATGGGGTATCCATCACCTCAAGCATTTATCTTTGTATTACAAACAACCAAATTATGCTCTTTTGGTTATTTTAGAAGTACGATTAAATTATTTTTTTACTGTAGTCTCCCTGTTGTGCTAGCAAATACTAGGCCTTATTCATTCTTTCTGTTTTTTGTACCCATTAACCTTCCCCATTTCCTCCCCACATTCCCACTAACCTTCCCAGCCTCCCTTCTACTCTCTATCTTCATTTCAATTACTTAATTTTTAGCTCACACAAATAAGTGAGAACATGCAAAGTTTGTCTTTCTATGCCTGGCTTATTTCCCCTAATGTAATGTCCTACAGGCTTATCCATGTTGTCACACATGACAGGATCTCATTATTTTTTATGGCTGAATAGTACTCCATTGTGCATATGCACCACATTTTCTTTATCCATTCATCTGTTGATGGACACTTAGGTTGATTCCATATCTTGGCTATTGTGAATAGTGCTGCAATAAACATGGGTGTGTTAGTCAAGGTTCTCCAGAGAGACAGAACCGATAGGATGTATGAGAGAGGATTTATGAGGTGTAATTGGTTCAGCTGATTATAGAGGTGGAGAAGTCCCACAATAGGCCATCTGCAAGCTGGAGAACCGAAGAAGCTGGTAGCATGATTCACTCGAAGTCTGGAAGCCTCAGAACTAGGGAAGCTGACAGTACAGACCCCAGTCTGAGGCCAAAGGCCTAAGAGCCCACAGGAGGCTGTTGATGCAAGTCCCAGAGTGCAAAAGTGGAAGAAACTGCAGTCTGATGCCCAAGGGCAGGAGGAGGAAAGGCATCTGGCTCCAGAAGGGAGATAGAATGAGCAGAGACAGAGAGTTCTTCCTCTTCTGCCTATTTGTCCCAACCAGGCTCCCAGCTAATAGGACAGTGCCTGCCCACATTGAAAGTGGATCTTAAGTGTTGCAGTCCACTGTCTCACACACCAAGCTCCCCTGGAAGCACCCTCACAGACACACCCAGGGAATAATGCTTCAACAGCCATGTTGGCATCCCTCAGTCCAGTCAAGCTGACCCGTAAACTGAACCATCACAATGAGAGTGCAGGTATCTCTCCAACATACTGATTTCATTTCCTTTTAATATACCCAGTAGTGAGTGCTTTGGATCATATGCTAGTTCTATTTTTAGTTTTTTGAGGAACCTCAGTACTGTTGTCCATATTGCCTATACTAGTTTACTTTCCCATCAACAATGTATAAGGTTTCCCCTTCTACACATCTTCACCAGCATTTGTTGTTTCTTTAACATAAAGAGTATAAAATCACTTTATTAGAAAGTTTAATCAGTCACAAATGAACAGCATTTTTGAGCACTAAACAGAGGATTAAAATTATTTCCAAACACTAGAGAAAATTATTGAAAATTCTAATGTTTTAGGCTTAAAGTATCATTACCGTCATGAAAGCAAAAATCCTATAGATGATATTTTCTTATATATATATATATTCTAAGTACTATGAAATTATAATAGAAATCATCAATTAAAGTGTAACAAATAAGTAATATCTAACCACGGGCAAATTTATTTTAAGATCACTTTATTATATTTTATTTTATTGCATTTTAATTTTAAAATTTTTAATTATTATGGGTAAATAATAGTTGCATATATTTATGGAGTGCATGTGATGTTTTGATACAGGCATACAATATGTAATGATCAAATCAGGATAATTGGGGTATCTATCATTTCAAGCCTTTATTATTTCTTTGTGTTGGGAACACTCCAATTCTACTCTCTTAGTTATTTTTAAATATACAATAAGTTATTGTTAACTATAGTTGCTCTATTGTGCTGCCAAATACTAGATCTTATTCATTCTCTCTGTGTTTGTACATATTAGCCATCCTGACTTTCAGCCTATTTTTTGTCTTTTTAATGATAGCCTTTGTAACTGGGGTGAGGTGATATTGTGGTTTTGATTTGCATTTCCCTAACGATTAGTGATACGGAGCGTTTAAAAATATACCCATTTGCCATTTGTCTGCCTTCTTTTGAGAAATGTCTATTCAGAACTTTTGTCCATTTTTAAGGGATTATGTCTTTTTTGGTTATTGAGTTTGAGCTCCTTATATATTCTGGGCATTAATCTCTGTAGATGCATAGTTTGCAAACATTTTCTCACATTCTGCGAGTTACCTCTTCACTCCATTGATTGATTGTTTCTTAGAAATTTTCAAATTACAATACACTGTTATTAACTATAGTCACCATGTTGAAAAATAGATCACTTGAACTTATTCCTCTGATCTAAAATTATGTATCCTTTGAGCAGCATATCCCCAACCACTACTCCACAACCCACCAGCCTCTGGTACCCACCATTCTGCTCTCTATTTCTATGATATCAACTTTTTTTTTCATTACACATATGAGTGAGATCATGCAGTACTGATATTTCTGTGCCTGGCTTATTTTCACTTAATGTTCTCCAGGTTCATCCATGTTGTCACAAATGACAGGACTTTCTTCTTTTCCAAGGATGAATAGTATTCCACTTTTTATACATACCACATTTTCTGTATATACTCTCCCATGTATTCTGCCTAGATTGATTTTATATCTTGGCTACTGTGAATATTTCTGCAAAGAACATGGAAGATATCTCTCAGACATACTGATTTCATTTCCTTTGGGTATACACCCAGTGGTGAGACTGCCAGATGATGTAGTAGTTCTACTTTTAGTTTTTTTTTTTTTTTAGAAACCTCCATATTGTTTTCCATAATGGCTGTACTAATTCACATTCCCACCAACAGTGTGCAGGGGTTCACTTATCTCCACATCCTCATCAACATTGTTATCTTTTGTCCTTTTAATAACAGCCATCCTAAGGAGTATGAGGTGATATCTCGTGGTGGTTTTAATTTGAATTTATCTGATTATTAGTGATGTTGAGCACTTTTTCATATACCTGTTGGCCATTTGTATGTCTTCTTTTGAGAAATGTCTATCCAGATCCTTTTCCCATTTTTAAATCACGTTATTTGTTTTCTTACTATTGAGTTGTTTGAGTTCCTCAAATATTTTAGATATTAACCCCTTATCAGATGTATAGTTTGCAAATACTTTCTCCCATTCTGCAGGTTGTCTCTTCATTCTTTTGTTTCCTTTGCTGTGCCAGAAGCTTTTCAGTTTGATGTAATTTCATTTACCTATTTTTTCTTCCGTTGCTTATACTTTTGGATCATATCCAAAAAGTAATTGTATAGACGAATATCATAGAGTTATACCATATGTTTTCTTCTAGTAGATTTATGGTGTCAGGTCTTACATGTAAGTGTTTAATCCATTTTTAGTTGATTTTTGTATATGTTGTAATAAAAGGGTCTAATTTCATTCTTCTGCATGTGGACATCCAGTTTTCCCAGCACCGTTTATTGAATGTATAAGAGTTCTTTTCTCTCCACATACTTGCCAACATCTGTTATTTTTGGTCTTTGTAATAACAGCCATTCTACAATGGCCATATTCCCATACTGTGGGTTGTTTCTTCACTCTGTTGAGTGTTTCCCTTGCCTCACAGAAACTCTTTAGTTTAATCTAGTCTCTTTTATCTATTTTTGGGTTTTGTTTCCTGTGCTTTTGGGGTCTTAGCAATAAAATCTTTTCCCAGAGCATTATCCTGGAGAGTCATCCCGAGGTTTTCTTCTAGCATTTTTATAATTTCTATAGCTCCTCCAAGATCACACATCTGAACTGAGATTGTAATGGTGATCTATCTGAAAGCCCATTTATCTACCTATCTGAAAGCCCATCAGCTGTCACTTACACCACAATACACAAATCCATCAAATGCATTGTCCACTCAATTATGGAGCTGTCTTGGGAAATACTTGTCTGTCAGCTAAGAAGAAGGATAACCTTGTTAAATCTTCCTAGCTTTTCTTGTCAGATAAATGCCCACTTTATTTGCTTTCCCCTACTCCCAGGTCTCTCTTGCTTCATATCAAAGCAGGAAAGAAAGGAAAAACTGCACAATAATATGATGGCATCACTTTGTGCCAAAGTCCAGAAATAGTCTTATTCTAATCCAAAGAATATTGCACAACCATTTTGCTTATGTGTAATAGACTTTTCCTGCTACTTTCTCTGTTGGCTTTAGAAAACACCGCCATCTAATGTAAACAGTGAATACCAAATTCCATGTAAACTTGGACAAATCACAGGGCCTTATCATTATTTTCCTTATCTATAAAGTAAGATAATAACAGCTGTACTACTTACCACACGGGGTTATCATACAGAGGGTCAATGAGATACTGTATATGGAAACATTTCTAAACTGTAAATCTCAATTTGAAGTCAAAAGATTACAAGTGTGATCTGTAAAAATGTTGCTCTCATGAACAAGCGTACACAGGAATTACGATCATTTTTCTGTTCTCTGGCATAAATAATGAGTTAAAGAATTAAGGAGACCAGATTTCAAAACCTCTCTGCTACTTATAAACTTTGTGGCAGGTGTCTAAGTTTCAGTTTTAACCTTAAATGTAAAAGAAGGTTAATAACACTTTTCCTTCTGGGATGATGAAATAAGTAAATTTAAAAATATTTTTGCAAATGCTTAACCCAGCACTAGAAGTTTCTGGAAATGACAGTGGGTGTCAATAACCTGGTGAAGACTGTGCGTCCTCACTGCATTCTCCCTCCAGGCATGGCTCCTTGAAGCCTGGGAGGATGGACTATTATATTCTTTTTCTTTTTCTTTCTATTTTTTTTTTTCTTTCCTTTGAGACAGAGTCTCGTTCTGTTGCCCAGGCTGGAGTGCAGTGGCGCAATCTTGGCTCACTGCAGCCTCCGCCGCCCGGGTTCAAGTGATTCTCCTGCCTCAGTCTCCCAAGTAGCTGGGACTACAGACTACAGGCGCGTGCCACCGCGCCTGGCTAATGGTTTTGTTTTGTTTTGTTTTGTTTTGTTTTTGTATTTTTAGTAGCGATGGGGTTTCGCCATGTTGGCCAGGCTGGTCTTGAACTCCTGACCTCAGGTGATCTGCCCACTTCGGCCTCCCAAAGTGCTGGGATTACAGGCGTGAGCCATCACACCTGGCCTATTTTTTCATTTGATTCTCGCAGTAGCCCTGTGAGATCAGCTAGGCAGAGGTTATTATGCTCAATTTTATATGCAACAAAACTAAGAATATTGGCTCTGATTGTGCCATGTACTATATAACACTAAGGAATATTGCCTGAGATGTCCAAAAATGACACCATTGGATGTTAATTTATCTTTGGAAAGAATATATTTGGCAGTATCTAGTAAATCTGAGCATACACATACCTTATGATCCATAAGTTCCATTCTTAAGTTTATTTCAAACAGGAGTGAATATATTTGTTCACCAAAGACATGTAATAGAATGTTCATAACAGCACTGTTTGTAGTAGTTCCAAACTGGAAATTACTCATATGTCCATCAACGGTAGAATGGATAAATAAATTGTGGTGTGATCACGCAATCAACTTCTGTATAGCACCAATAAACTATTGCTAAACAATGATGAAACTCCTAAACATAATATTAAATGAAAAAGAAGCCAGACACAAATGAATACATATTGTGATTGCATTTATATAAAGTTTTATATAAACAGGCAAAACTAATCCTTGGTGATAGAAGTCAGGATGGTAGTTACCCTTGGGTTGGGGGAGTGGCGTTACTGGAAAGGAGCATAAGGAAGGGTTCTGGGGTTCTGGTAATGATCTGTTTATTGACCTGCGTGCTAGTGATATGGATGTGATTACGTCATGAAAATTCATCAAGCTTACGATTTGTGTACTTTCCCATAATGTATAGTATACTTCAGTAAAAAGTTAATTTGCCTTAGGCAAAACGGAAACCCATTATCTTAGGCAAGGTTTTTCAGTGGCTTCCCATGGTACTCAGAATAAAATCCAAAGTCCTTACCATGGCCTGCATGGCAATATATACATGATCTAGCCCCTGGCTACCTCCTCCACATGTAGCCGGTGCCCCTATAAATGTTAGGGTTGAATGAATGATTGAAGATCCCTGGGTGAATGGTCCACTAGGCTATAGCTGGGATTCCTCCCACAAAGGGAGACACCTGAGAAGTTGTAAGTCATCCTGTTAAAAGGAAAGCTTTGTTAGTATAACCTCTCTTGTCCACCCCACCTCAGTTTGGTGAGGAGAAAGCTCAGAGCTTTCCCCAGTGCTTCCATGAACTTTGGCCAGTAAAGACTTAAAATATCATATCATAAGATGAGAGAAACCAGTTGGAACTTAACTTCTATCCCGTATCCTTCGATTATTCAAAGAAAAACAAAATACGGTCAACAGGCAGTGGAACTCCTCACTCCAATGTGATATTCCTGAGAGAATATTGACTTATTGTCACTTCGTCTCTGGGACAAGTATTGAACATAGGGGGAGCCTTACATAAAATTGTTCAATAAACAAAAGATGTCTTTAACATGTGTTTGAGATCTTTCTTCTCATGATTCCATGTTAGGTACAACAACTATGACCGGGCTGTCATCAATACCGTTCCTTATGATGTCGTCCATCGCTGGTATACAGCACACCGGACTCTAACGATAGAGTTGAGGAGACCTGAGAATGAGTTTTGGGTTAAACTAAAGCCTGGCAGGGTGGGTCCTAATCTCTAAAGATGTCAAGCAAGCTTGTAATAATGAAGCAGTGAAGAACGGGTACTTACTTAATATGTGAGTCACAATGTTGCAAAGGAAAAAGAGAAAAGAGTCCTTGGTGTTGGTCATGGTCCTGCGGCTCGCTCACTGAATGCCCTGGAAGCAAGCCTCATCCCATCTCTAAGGCATCAGTAACTCTATTTGTATGGTGAGGGGGTTTAACTGGATGACCCCCAAGGGTCCTTCCAGCTTCATGATTCCATAGTTTTTATTTTGGTATTTCCTCTGGATGAAAAATACCTTCAGCTTAGCAAAAAATGTCATGAGATAATTTAACCCTTTGAGAAAGGGTAGAATAAGAATTAAAGAAAAAGAAAGAAACCAATTATCTGATTTGCTTTGATAAGAGAACAATTACTTGAGAAACAGAAGCTCTTCCACTGCAGGGCCTATTACCTACTGTTGCCTCTGTAACTTCCATTTAGCCTACTACAGGGCTATACACATCTTAGTTTCCAAACGTTTGTTTAATTTCAAAAGAAAAATACCTCATTTAATGTAAGCAGAGAACAACCTAAAGCTTGTCTTTTAAATGATCTCTTCTGACTTAGGGTTCCTTTGGTCTGTCCTTCTTCTGATAGTGTTTTCTCTTTTTTTTTTTTTTTTTGCCCATTCACAGGTCCTATTTATAGACAACTGGCGTGTCCTACATGGCAGGGAATGCTTCACTGGCTACCGCCAACTCTGTGGCTGCTATTTAACAAGGGATGACGTATTAAACACTGCTCGCCTCTTGGGGCTTGAGGCTTAAAATTGACAGCATCGGGATTATGAATACACCTGGCACCCCGGCTACCAGAATTTCATATGGGCAGAATAATATTTAATATTGTGTCAAACTCTACTTCAGATTGTCTCCTTATCCCATCCCACAAAACAGAAGCTGTCCCTTTCTCTAGTAGGGGAGACTTGTTAGAGAGGGGGGACTCTGAGCTATCTAATGTCAGACTTCTAGTGGGGCAGCTCTCTTCCTCATGTTATAACATGGATCCACTTGTTTTATTTAAACCTTTTAATATAATTTTGGTCAATCTCCTTCAGAAATATAATCTCCATATTGATAGGAAAGCAATAATTGCCATGAGGTAGTGATTTTTTTTTTCCCAAGTAGATCGGTTAGAAAGAACTGCATTCTAGAAATAACAAAGATCCTGATAAAGCAACAATTTGCAAAATTTTTGGTGTTAGGACACCTTAACACTCTTAAAAGTTATTGAAGGCCCCAAGGAGTTCTTGGGTGTGGGTTCTAACTATTGATACTAATTGTTTTAGGTATTAAGACTGGGAAATATTTAAAACTCAAGAACGCAGAAGCACACATCCCTCAGCTATCAGAGAGATGACATAACCATATGTCATGTAGCCTCTGGAAAAGTCCTCTGTCTCCTCACGAGATAATGAGAGGGGGAGAAAAAGCTACTATTGCCTTTGTAACTTCCACTTAGCCTACTACAGGGCTATGCACATCTGGCTTTCCAAAAGTCTGCTTAATTTCAAAAGAAAAATGCTTAATTGAATGTAACTCATCTTGGTGTTATTATGCAAAATAATTTTTAATCTGCAGACCCACTAAAAAGGCCTCAGGGACTCCTCCAGGGGTCTTCAGACCATATTTTGAGAACCCATGGGCTAGCGACTACCTTGAGACAGTCCTTTACATAGGCCTGAGGATTAAAGGGTTTAGCTGAAACCCTAGATTTTTCTCTATAGCCTAATAGAACTCCAAACATTATAAGAATTGCTTGGTAGCATAAGCTCAGGGATAAGGTGGGAATTGAGTTCAAATATAGTGTTTTATCTTCGATACAAATCATCTCTATAGGAGTTAAATTAGGAAGTCACAACAGCTCCTGTTGAACAAACTTATCAGTGTGGTAATCCTATGAGGGATAATTGCAGAAAGGTTTTAGAGACTTGTGAGGTTCCATATGATAATTCTTTACACACACACACACACACACACACCACCACCACCACCACCACCACCAAGAGAAGTACACAGGGCTATCCTGTAATATTATTCAGGGAAATCAGCATGATAGATGCTGTGCCTCCAGAGAGTTCTCTGGAGATTACTACCCAAATGTGTATTTTGGCAATTTGGTGGTATTTAGGATGTAATATGTTTTCCTCCATTTCTGCTATTTTTTTTCTTTCTCTCTCTGTCTCTCTCATAAAATACTATACATGTTAATTACCAAGATTTGAATGAGTCAAATTTAGTAGCTTGCTGCTTTTATTTTTTAAATAGCTTCTTTTATGTATGGGGGGAGGGCAGGTTATGAAGCTTCTTTTCCCTCAGCTTTCATTGAAAGTGAAGCTGTACAATAACCACATTGACCACTGTAGAATGATGAAAGAGAATATAGGCTAGGATGCACACAAGAGGGGGGAAAAGGCATTATTAGTGAAGACAGGAGTTACAAAGCAAAGCAAAGTCAGTATTCAGATAGAGAATAGAGCCTAATCTGATGTTTGCAGGGAGTTCCTAGATCACATTTGGCAATTTACACATTATTTTATTGACACATCCAGTGCTCCAAAATGTGTTCCCAAAATATTTCGGCATTTTATTTGTACTATATAGGAATCTTTAGGGGAGTCCATGAAATTTGTTTTCCTCATAGGTCAAAGGACTGATAATTAACTTTGGTTCTTAAGGAGTATGCCCTTTAGCAAGAAGAACAGCAATAACATTTTACCCTGAAGTTTTTTCTCTATACCTACTATTATGCACTCCTAAAATATGTCATCATTAGTCTTCATGAGGATGTTTACCATTTTTGAAGTTTTGCATAAATTAGCCTTGAAGATTACACTATAACTGAGGTCAGCATTGGTTTACGGCCAGCAAAGGACATGATCATGGCCCTGGAGAGATGAGGACACAAAACAAATCAATTTCCCCACTTACTGAAGGACTCCCCTTACCTTCTGTCTCTCCTGACACCTTGACTCGTTAATTATTTTACCCTCCTTTTTGGAAATTTGCAACCAATCCTTCTCAACAATGTACTCCCTTTGGTACATTGAAGAAAAAGAGAAGGGAATTATTTGAGTCCTGATCCCGATGCATTGAAAACTTCCTATGTGAGATGTTTCTTTTTTTCACATCTCTTCCAGGTGTCCCTGAGTATATAAGCATGGGTCTATGTCTACCAAGCTCACTGTAGAGTCACTTTTACCTTTTGCTATGGTGGAATGGGATCTGTAGGGTCAGGAACACAGCACCTAACACAGTGCCTTATGGACAGTAGTTTTATAATACAGATGTGTTGAAAGAATAAATGAATGACACATGCACACGTATGTTTATTGCAGCACTATTCACAATAGCAAAGACTTGGAATCAACCCAAATGTCCATCAATGATAGACTGGATTAAGAAAATGTGGCACATATACACCATGGAATACTATGCAGCCATAAAAAAGGATGAGTTCATGTCCTTTGTAGGGACATGGATGCAGCTGGAAACCATCATTCTCAGCAAACAATCGCAAGAACAGAAAACCAAACACCGCATGTTCTCACTCATAGGCGGGAACTGAACAATGAGATCACTTGGACTCGGGAAGGGGAACATCACACACCGGGGCCTATCATGGGGAGGGGGGAGGGGGGAGGGGGGAGGGATTGCATTGGGAGTTATACCTGATGTAAATGACGAGTTGATGGGTGCAGCACACCAACATGGCACAAGTATACATATGTAGCAAACCTGCACGTTGTGCACATGTACCCTACAACTTAAAGTATAATAATAATAAATAAATTAAAAAAAAAAAGAAAAAAAAAGAAAAAAAAATGAAAAAAAAAAAAGAATAAATGAATGAGTCCTTTTCAAACAAATTCACCAGAAGTTACCACATTCTCTGTATGTATGTCCTTTTTTGTTTGGCATTTAGCTGACACTGACTTTTGTTCGCTTTCATCTAGAGTGACCAACCATCCTCTTGTGCCCAGAACTACAGGATTTTCCATTTTAAAACTAGGAGAGTCCCACACGAACCAGGACTGTTGGTCAGTCACCGTACCTTCTTGCTGCGAGCTATGTAGTTTTCTTTGGTTTTCATCACTGGTTCCCATTTCTTTGAAAGTGTTTGTAGGTCACAGACTGTGTAGTCCATGATGAAAAGAACAAAAGATGTACGAATTATGGTGTGTTGTGGTGATTCCCAAAGTAGGGTCCCCAGACCACCAGCAGTGGCATCATTTGAGAACTCCTTAGAAATGCACATTTTCAAGGCCCACCCCACACCTACTAAGTAAGAAACTCTGGGCAAGGGTACCAGCAGTTTGTTTTAGCAAGTCCTCTGCAGGATTCTAACACATGACAAAGTTTGAGAACTACTGACAGGAAGAGTCCCGCTGCTGAGTTCTAGGCCCAGTTCTGGCACTGGCTCACTAAATTACTTGAGGCATGTACCTCTCCTATTTTGAACTTCAATTTTCTCTTCTGCAAAATGAAAGCCTTAGACTAGGCAGCATCTAAAGGCTCTGTCACTCTGTAATTGTGCGACTTCGGTAACTTTGTTTGACTTCTCATTGCTTAAGTTTTCTCATATGGGTATGGTAAGGAAAATATCTACCTCACAGGATTTTCTAACAATTTTGTGATTATTAAGTAAGATGACTGATGACTAATAATGACAGCCAACTCCTACACAGTGCTTTGTATATCCTGGACTGTTCTAAGTGCTTTTAATCCCTGCGACAATCCCATCTCCATTTTACAAATGAAAAATAGAGGTCACACGGCTAATACATGTCAGAGTTTGGATTAAAACCCAGAAAAATCTGTCCCCAGAGACAACAATGATTTTTAACTAGCATGCCCTTTTGCTCAATAAATGTTAATTCCCTCACCCTTTCCAAACACACACAGTCTAGCTGACCATTCATAGACAATAATCCCACTTTCACAGTCCATCCAACAAGATCTTAAAAGAACCATGAGAATCTCTAGGTTTCTTTTGCAAATAGTTTTCAAGCATTTTTTTAAAAAAGGAGGAGGGGTGGGGAGGGAGTGGCCAAGATGGCTGACTAGAAGCAGCCAGGGTGAGTGGTTCTCACGGAGAGGAACGAAAGGGGCAAGTAAATACAGCACCTTCAACTGAAACATCCATGTACCTGCATTGGGTCTAATCAAGGAAACAACTCGATCCACAGAGAATGAAGAAAAGCAAGGCAGGATGACAGCCCACCCAGGAGCAACATGGAGACAGAGGAACCTCCCCCACCCAGGGAAGTAGTGAGTGAATGTACGATCCTGGGAAACCACGCTCCTCCCATGGATCCTTGCAACCCTTGGGTCAGGAGATCCCCTCGTGAACCCACTCCACCAGGGCCTTCAGTCTGACACACAGAGATACCTGGAGTCTCAGCAGAGCAGCCGCTTCAGCACGTGCAGAGACCCAGAAGCTTTACATACTCCAGCTCTGGGTTTCCCAGCAAAAGTAACTGCAACTCCTGCAAAGCGGGAGATTAGACCCCTGTACATACCTCTAGGAAAGAGGCTGAATCCAGGGGGCCAAGCAGCAACGATCTGCGGGCCCCACTTCCACTGCACCTCACAGGATAAGACCCACTGGTTTGGAGTTCCAGCCAGCCACCAGCAGCAGTGTTGCACCTACCTGGGACAGAGGTCCCAGGGGGAGGGGCAGGCTGCTCTCTGGGACAGAGCTCACAGAAGTGGTACCCCAGAACAGCACAGCACAGCTGCTCTTCAGAAGCATGGCCAGACTGCTTCTTTAAGCAGGTGCCCAGTCTGTTCCTCCTCACTGGGTGGGACTTTTCAACCAAGGCCTCCAGCAACCCCTACTGGTGTTCTCTGGCTGACAGAGATTTGAATTCTCCCTGCGACAGAGCTCCGGAAGGGAGGGAGGGGCCACCGTCTTTGCTGTTTGGGCGACTTAGCTGTTCCAGCCTCCAGGCTTTGGAGAGCCCACACCGACCAGGGGTGGAAGCAGTGCCCCAGCACAGCACAGCTGATCTGCGAAAGCATGGCCAGACTGCTTCTTTAAGCAGTTCCCTGATCCCATTCCTCCTGATTGGGTGAGACCTCCCAACCAGGGTCTCCAGCCTCATCCTACAGGTGCGTTTGGGCTGGCAACAGGTCTGTACCTCCCTGGGTCGGAGCTCCCAGAGGAAGAGGCAGGCTGACATCTTTGCTGTTTCACAGCCTTCACTGGTGATAGCTCCAGGTACTGGAAAATCCAAGGCAACTAGGAACTGGGGAAGAAGCCCAGCAAACTACAGCAGCCCTACAGAAACATGGCCAGACTGTTAAAAGAAAAAAAAACAAACCAAAGGTCAGCAACCTCAAAGATTGAAGGTAGATAAGCCCACAAAGATGAGAAAGAATCAGTGCAAGAACGCTGAAAACTCAAGAAGCCAGAGTGCCCTGTTTCCTCCAAATGACTTCATCACCTCTCTAGCAAGGGTTTGGAATTGGGCTGAGGCTGAGATGGCTGAAATGACATAAGTAGAATTCACAATATGGATAGGAATGAACTTCACTGAGTTAAAAGAGTACATTGTAACCCATTGCAAGCAAGCTAAAAGTCATGATAAAACACTGCAGGAGCTGACAGACAAAATAGCCCATATAGAGAAGAATGTAACCAACCTGATGGAACTGAAAAAACACACTATAAGAATTTCATAATGCAATCACAAGTACTAATAGCAGAATAGACAAAGCAGAGGAAAGAATTTCAGAGCTTGAAGACTGGCTTTCTGAAATAAGACTGGCAGACAAGAATAGAGAAAAAAGAATGAAAAGCAATGAATAAAACCTCCGAGAAATATGGGCTCATGTAAAGAGAGCAAATCTAAGACTGATTGGTGCCCCTGAAAGAGATGGGGGAAATGGAACCAATTTGGAAAACGTATTTCAGGATATCATCTATGAGAAATTCCCTAACCTAGCTAGAGAGGCCAACATTCAAATTCAGGAAATCCAGAGAACTCCAGGAAGATACTCCACGAGAGGAACATCCCCAAGACAGATAATCATCAGATTCTCCAAGGTTGAAATGAAAGAAAAAATGTTAAAGGCAGCTAGAGAGAAAGGCCAGGTCACCTACAAAGGGAAGCCCTTCAGACTAACAGCGGATGTCTCAGTGGAAAACCTACAAGCCAGAAGAGACTGGGGGTCAATATTCAACATTCTTAAAGAAATTCCAACCCAGAATTTCATATCAGGCCAAAGTAAGCTTCATAAGTGAAGAAGAAATAAGATCATTTTCAGACAAGCAAATGTCGAGGGAATTTGTTACCACCAGACCTGCCCTACAACAGCTCCTGAAGGAAGCACTAAATGTGGAAAGGAAAGATGGTTACCAGCCACTCCAAAAACACACTGAAGCACTCATACCAGTGACACTATAGAGCAAACATGTAAGCAAGTCTGCAAAATAACCAGCTAGCATCATGATGAAAGGATCAAATCCAAACATACCAACACTAACCTTAAATGTAAATGGGCTAAATGCCCCAATTAAAAGACACAGAGTAGCAAGCTGGATAAGGAACTGAGATCCAATGGTATGCTGTCCTCAAGAGAACCATCGCACATGCAATGACACACATAGGCTCAAAATAAAAAGATGGAGGAAAATCTACCAAGCAAACGGAAAACAAAAAAGCAGCAGTTGCAATCCTAGTTACTGACAAAACAGACTTTAAATCAACAAAGATTAAAACACACACACACACACACACACACACACACACACACACACACACACAGAAGGGCATTACATAATGGTAAACGGTTCAATTCAACAAGAAAATCTAACTATCCTAAATACATATGGACCCAACACAGGAGCACCCAGATTTATAAAGCAAGTTCTTAGAGGCCTTCACACAGACTTAGACTGCCACGCAATGATAGTGGGAGACTTTTTAACACCCCACTGACAATATTAGACAGCTCATTGAGACAGACAATTAACAAAGATATTCAAGACCTGAACTCAGCACTGGATCAAATGGACCTGGTGGATATCTACAGAACTCTCCAGCCCAAAACAACAGAATATACATTCTTCTGATCACCACATGGCACTTACTCTAAAATCGACCACATAATCAGAAGTAAAACTCCTCAAAAAATGCAAAAGAACTGAAATCACGACAAACAGTTTCTTGGGCCACAGAAGAATCAAATTTGAAATCAAGACTAAGAAATTCACTAAAAACCATGCAATTACATGGAAACTGAATAACCTGCTCCTGAATGACTTTTGGGTAAATAATGAAATTTAGGCAGAAATCAAGAAGTTCTATGAAAC